ATATATATATATATATATATTCCAATCGGCAGATAGTTATGTGTATATATATATATATGTAGTTCTTTGAAAATGTGTGTATATATATATACAGATAGGTATATATACACATAAACATGCATATACATATATATACACATATGGGTATACATATTTGATCGTTTAGTTGTTGTTCGGCGCTCGAGGCGACAAACAAAGGTGTTAGCGAAAAATTACTAAGCCAGACGCGTGATACTCGCGCGCTGCTATTCTTTCATTAGAAGACGAGGAATGCTCGCTGCATTCGATAACAGTTGTCGATAACAATTTCTTTGTACATACCCTAGTAAAATGGATCTGAGAAGAAAGGAAAAGGAGATTTTTATACCGTGTAACTTAACAGGTTGAAACGCGATTGCGCGCGTCCAGTAATGCGTCCAACTGTACGTCACGATTACAAGCTGACGCATCGTCTAGCAGCCTGATGCAAACTCTCATCCGTTCGATTCGATTCGATTCGATTCGATTCGATTTGTCTGATAACTTTCTTGGATTGCTCTCTGCAGTTTGCACGTATTCGTACACGATTACCAATTATCTACTACTGATCGCAGTACCGATTCAAAATAGAGAAATTTCAAACAACGCGCACATCAGTTACAATTTGTTCTTTCATATCAGAAATGCCTTTCGTAGCCTTCGTCTAGGCATATATTGCGTAAATACGTAAGTGTCGTTGCTAGTTTCACCGAATTCACGAAATACCGATAGAACGCAGAAACTAAACGAAGAGGACGAATGATCCTACCGGTTTTGGTGCTAGGTTTCGTAGCTCGCGCGCAGCCGCCAGTGCGCGTCGGACCGTCGATGATATTTCCATTGCGATCAAGGGACATTCGATTCTCCCTGAACTTTAATTATCCACCTAAATGCGCATCTTGGCAGTTAATGGCCCGCAAGTAAATGTCGAAAGGGATTATTCGAGGCCTTTAATAAAATTAACCGTATCAGTTCATTGCAAAGCAGCGTCGAGATTTTTCGACGCGACACTTTAAGCGAAAAGGGGATTTTTCGACCCCGAACGTGCAAAACAAACGTACAACCGAGAATAGTGAAATGTTATTAAAACCAAAGTTAAATCGTTGTAGCGTATTTGCAGCCGATGTTAACGGTACTACAGTTATTATAATTACTACTACTATTACTACTACTATCGCTACTACTACTACTATTTCTTCTTCTTCTTCTTCTTCTTCTTCTTCTTCTTCTTCTTCTTCTTCTTCTACTACCACCGTCATTATCATCACAACTGTACCATTATCAGCATCGTGTCCATTTTGACCACACCATCAAGATCACTACTATCGCTATTATCAATTACAACAACTACTACTATTACTGCTACTACAACTGCTGCTGCTACCGCTGCTACTGCTGCTACCGCTACTACTGTTATCATTATCGTCGTCACCGTCATCATCATTACTATTATTGTTATCGTTGGTGTTGTTACAAGTTTGTATTTTTGCGACTCTTCTGCCTTTTTCTCTTCCGTCTTATTATTATTATCATTATTATTTATAATTAATAAGAATGGAACTTCTTCCTTAGGCATTGTAGATATCGTTTCTTTTATAGCGTTTCATTCGATTCACTTATTTCTCTCTGTTTGAACTTTCACCGCACATATGCGACGTACTGTAACATATCGCACATACACGAACGTTCATAGATACAGATACAGAGACACAGCACGGATACGAGGAAAAAATAAAGAGCTTGGAAGCTCGTGATCCATACTTTGAACTCTCTCTCTCTTTACGTTTTTCTGTCACTCGAGCTTCATTGCGTTACCGCCAACGAAAGAATATCGATGAGAGAAACGATCTTTTATTCTAGCCAGTGTTCTATTCGATTAGAGTTCTATACAATTGTTGTTCTCTCGTTAATAAAATGCCCGAGAAAAAGAAAGAAAACACGGCCCAGAACGCCCAATGGTCCAGATACCCAAACTTGATTTCCTTCCGAAGGAATTTGTACGGAGAAGCGGTGTCGCGTGCTCGTAGTGTTTCTTTTCCGTGCGATCGTATCATCGGAGACCATTTTCCGCGATTGCCGGCAGTTTCTACGTATATATACCGATTCACTGTCGAGGCCCTAGTCATAAACCTTAGAGAGAAAGTGTCTTTGCGTAGAATGCTCCTGTACGAATGTTAGCTACGATGCATTTTCTATAAAGGCAATCCTCGTGCACGCACGCAACGCGCATTCCACATTGCATTCTCATTGTACCAAAAGCGAATACTTTTTGTAAATAAACAATGTACTAATGTTGGTACCTTGTCTCGTTGCTTGAAGGATTTTCAAGGGAATTCGAATTCGAAAGGAATCGAGTCGAATTCTCTGCTAGAATACATCGCGTCGCGGTCCCACAGTTCCGGTACTTTTCAATCGTTTCCATCACATCTTGGCTCATCGATTGTTCGTTCGAGATACGAGTACCGTGGCCCGTGTAATCAGCTGGATTACCCAACGACGTTGGATCGTTTGCAGCGTTACTCGTTCGATGTTCCGCAGATGATTGTTCCTTCGAAAGAAATATCCGAAATATCCTATGGCTACGGTCACGTGGTAGTGTATCAAGGTATTTACCTGAAAGTTCATTCGCTCTTCTGTCTGCCGATTCTATCGGCGATTAGAAGCGATTACTCCGCTTCGCGATCGAGTCAACTGTGCTTCGCACAAAGGAGCAAGGAATAGCGGACGAAACGTTTGAATGGCAGTTATTACTTCTATAGAACTGCCAACACGTTTCCAATGCGTTTGAAATAGTGCGCGAACGCGTACCTTCCGACAAACGGGTCATATCGAATATTCCGTCACGATTGGTCGAGTAATCGGTTCTCTTCGCGCGATTGGCTAGAAAATCTTATGCTTTCGCGGTATTATCGTTATCGCGACCAACCACCGCACCGAATTCTGCAGAATTTTTATACAGAGATTTGTACGTCACATGCGAGACGCAAGTGTCCGTAGCATATGAAATAAAAACTAAACGTTCGACAATTATTCTCCTTTAATGTTTGCTAAGGTATCGAATATAGACTATCGCGTATATAGCATGTAAATGGGGGCAAAGGTGTTTCATAAGAGTCAGCTTGCCGACCTTGAGCTTCTCTAGTTCTATCGTTCCGCATTCGGTTCGTGGTCGACACCGTGGCGAAATAATCTTGAACCAGAACTGTTGTTGGGACGAACCAGTTACCAGCAAAGATATATTCGATCGATTGAAACGATTATACGTTCGTGGATTATTCGAAAAGTTTACGGCTTACGATGTTTTCGGTAAGTAGTAGTTCACTCGGGAGAATCATGAGCTCGAAACATCTGACGTTCCAATTTCAAAAACGAACGAAACGTGCTTCTCATCGTTCACAACTGTTTCTAGTCTGCCGTGAGAAATACCGTCCGACGTTCGTTCTCGACGTCAAAATGGGCTGCCGCGCAGCAGGTGAGAATGATTTTCATTTAATCTTCCTTCCTTCCATTTAGAAACATAACCTCGATGCTGTGACATAATACCTTTCTCGTTCGTTCTTTTATTATTCTTTGAACGACTCTCGACACGATCGAGTCGATCATATTTTCGCATATTTCGTTCTTCACTCTTCTCAATCTATTCCGATCTTTTGTTTCTTCGATATAGCGTATCAAAGTTCAATTGGTTGCACTACACGTTGAAGGGCACCAAAGGTCATTCAATTTCAATTTCAATACCATCGCAGTGAAGTTTTCAAATCAAATGCGTACAATTCTTTTCTTTTCTTTTCTTTTCTTTTCTTTTCTTTTCTTTTCTTTTCTTTTCTTTTCTTTTCTTTTCTTTTCTTTTCTTTTCTTTTCTTTTCTCTCCTTTTCTCTTCTTCCCTCTTCTCTCCTATGTTTATTCGATTCGTATCGGACAAGAAATACAAAAGTTCTATTTTCTTCCATCTTCACAGATGACCGTACGAGATGCTTTAAACTCTGCTCTGGACGAGGAAATGGAAAGAGACGAAAAGGTATTTTTGCTCGGTGAAGAAGTAGCTCTGTACGACGGCGCTTACAAAGTTTCTAGGGGACTCTGGAAAAAATACGGAGACAAGCGTGTTATAGATACTCCTATTACAGAAGCAGGGTTTGCCGGTATCGCTGTAGGGGCTGCCATGGTAGGTCGACGTATATCTTTGGTACCGTACGATAACGTCATAAATTATTCTAAATAGTACATGGACATTTCTTATTTACCGTTCGATAATGTTATTTCTTCTGCAACTACATTTTTAGGCTGGTTTACGTCCAGTCTGTGAGTTCATGACGTTTAACTTTTCGATGCAAGCGATCGATCAGATTATCAATTCTGCGGCTAAAACATTTTACATGTCCGCTGGCAGAGTAAACGTACCAGTCGTTTTTCGTGGGCCTAACGGAGCAGCGGCAGGCGTAGCGGCGCAACATTCCCAATGTTTCGGCGCTTGGTATAGTCACTGTCCTGGTTTAAAAGTAGTGTCACCGTACACCAGCGAAGATGCGAAAGGATTATTAAAAGCTGCTATCCGGGATCCCGACCCTGTCGTTGTATTAGAAAATGAGATTTTATACGGAGTACAATATCCTATGTCTGACGAGGCTTTATCGAAAGAATTTGTCCTGCCGTTTGGTAAAGCAAAGATTGAACGTGTCGGGAAACATGTGACGATAGTGGCTCACTCCAAGGCGGTCGAACAAGCGCTCGAGGCAGCAAACGAACTCGCTGGGAAAGGTGTAGAGGCGGAAGTAATAAATCTGAGGTCCTTAAGACCGCTAGATATAGATACAATTGTGCAATCGGTGGCAAAAACGAACCATGTTTTGACCGTGGAACAAGGCTGGCCGCATTGCGGTATCGGAGCAGAAATTAGCGCAAGAATTTCCGAAAGTGAGTTCTCTAGATGAATTATTAAGAAATCATCTAATTCGATTCGAATAACGATCTCTTCGTTGAATTACAGGCGAAGCGTTTTACCACCTTGATGCTCCGGTGATTCGTGTTACAGGGGTTGATACCCCTATGCCTTATGCGAAAACATTGGAAAGTGCCGCTTTGCCGCAAACGAGCGATGTAGTGTACGCAGCGAACAAACTACTCGGCCTAGTAGAGTAACTACGTCTAGAGATTTCTAGGTAAAATTCAAATTTCCCATTTGTTTCTCCTCCCAGTTTCTTACTTACCTCCTCGTACCTTTTCCCACTTTAGCGTCCTCTAAATTCCTTCCTTGACAAAGGGAGTATGTAGCGGAGAATAAGTACAAAGTTCAATGACGATAAAATGAGTCATGGAAATTTCTTTAGGCGATTCCAAAACAATCACACGTGAAAAGTTTGTGTTTATCGATCTAGTACGTAGGTGCAAACGCATATAGTTGGGAATAATGTACATGTGTATATACGTATACGTATACGTATACGTATGTATATGTATACGTATGGAACAGTCGCGTGGTTGAATATTTAAATAGTCTCATAATACCACAATAGTGTTCAAGTAATTTAATAATCAATTTCAACCTCTTTATTGGTAAACGAAATCAATTCTTGCTGTTCCAACCTTCGAATATCAAATTAATTTAATAAATTGTTATAAAAACAATTCGCTGAACATAATCGACGATACGTTAGTGAAATGAAAAACTTGTAAATTACCGGTATATATACTAAATGAACGTATAATCGTTGCATTTGTTTATCAATTATTTATTACTGAAACGTAATAAATTGTAATATACATCAAGTCCGTTTATACCCTTTCATTGGTAACAATTTGACTACTGCCACTGCTAATCACGTTTATTTTTTGCATGGTATCATCATCTTCCACTGATAGTCACGTATGATACATGCGTAATAAACAGCATGTTACCACAGTCATGTAGCGTTCGAAAGCATCTCTCAATTCGCCGTCTCTGAAAGAGGAAATACACTGCTCTGTACAGAACAAATTGTCCATATTAATTTGTTTGGTTCGTTCCTCACCTCAGTACATCCATATCTAGCGCGCACTGAGTGTAAACCGTTAAGAAATTTCTAAGATCCGTGTGACTCCAATTGACTTGACGCCAAGGTTCTACACACCTCTCTACCAATTCTAAGAAAAAGAACCTTAAATCTCTAGAACGATGAAGATTACATCCTATTCCTAATATAGCTCTAGAATACGAACGAAAATTGCCATCTACTTCTTGATAGGAACGTTCCAGAAGTATAGGTTTAAGTTTAATACACACTAAACTGTAAATAATAAAAAGCGAATTTTCAAAGAACAATGTATTTTTCGACGTTTCAACGGCTGAACGTTTAACGTATTTTTCAAGGCGACAACGTACTGTTTGTGATGCTTATCGTTCTCCAAGAGTACTCTGCATTCTGCTAGTTCTAGTAAAAACTCTCTGTCCAAATCTGTATCAAAGTATTCGGAACCAACGCAACGATACGTCCATAGGCACATCATACTGTTCGCGCAATGATATAAATCCGGAAATGTTAGAAATTGTAGTTTCCTCTTGTTCATCTCGAATCGAAGACACGCGATGAACACCACAGCCGCGTATCGCCTGTGCATCCACGAGTATCAATTGATTATCAGTGCTATAGGATATTCAGGGGTGGGTTATTCATAGTTTTGTATTTGTTGTTACTTGGCAAGGTCTTCGGAAAGTAAAAAATGTTGCTCGATATTCACTGCTAAGGAACCTGGCAAATCTTCGACGACTTTGAATACCCTCTTGACGTTGTCGTACTGCCTACGGCAACTTTTCAACGTGATGCCGGTTTTCTCCGATACCTCGTCCATATCTTTTCTACTTTTCGAAGTCAATTTTTTACCTAATAATTCTCTAATAACAATATCGTCGAACTCGTAGTACCTAACCAAGAAAATCGAGAAGGTTGAACGAGCATGCGCTACACAACAGGGTGACAGTTGAGGTTTCGTACGATTGTAAAATTCGCTTACATTTCAATAAGCATCTGACTAGTTTGAGGTTCTATCTGGAAAGCGAGCTGTTCGCTCGCTAACTTTGTAGGGGTATGAAGCAGTTTCTCCAAAAGAGCGTAAGTTCGATAATGATCCAAAATGTCGGAGGCAACTAATTCGATCGGGGCATTCGTTTGATGACATATACCCCGCTGGTGCAGAATGTTGACTGCGTCGCTTGCTAAATTGTCGAATAAAATCATTGATTTAATCAAGGAATGCAGAGAGCAACGCTCCGAATCGTATATGCCGAAGAAGTTCGTTTGACAAACTCACAGGAATGACCGTCGACCCAAAGTTGATAGATCTCAGGATCGACGAGCGTGTAATTACTTATAAATACGTCGACCTCCGACAACATCCCGAACGCACGCTACTTCGATTCGACGACAGCGAAGATCTGTACGCGGTTTACAGTTCAGAGTAGGAAGGTTTTTCTCGCATAGAACATTCAAGGCATCGCGATCGTACGCACGTTCACTTTTCCTTACACTTTCATATTTGTCGATCACTCACATATTCCTGTAGCGCGGTAGGCAGTCAGGAAAAGGTAGAAAGAGTACCGAAGTCGACTCGATCAATATAGATTCATAGTAGAATCGATTCGTTGGATTCCAACTATGCAACTGTTTCAAAGAAACGTTCGAAAACCACACACCCCCCACTCGACTCGGCATCGAGAGATTTCTCTGGCAGATTCGGAGATACCGACAGGGCGAACCGTTGGACGTTTTATCGCGCCATCTGCTATCGCGAACGGTTACTCGGTTCTACCTAGCCGCACGGTAACGGTGACGGTAACATTGTTCGTAATCGAGAAGCATACGCGATAAGTAGAAAGAATATTCGAAAGCAGCAGAACCGAGAGATATATTATTATATTGTAGGTTCGAATTACTCGAATTATATTGGTCTTTACGTTAGGTATCGATCGGACAGACGACGCGTTACGCGTCGTGTCGCTGCGTGTCAACAAACAGTCCATTGTTTTCGTTTTCTGGTACAATCTCGTGTTCAATTAAAATAATCAACGGACTTTGAGTCCTGTAACACGTTGAAGTAACATGTCGCGTTCCAGCTCCGTTCCGCCGTTACGACGATGGTGTATATCTTTACGGGAAGACCATTTCGAATCTGCTAGCGGTACTTACGTTGGGTATTTACCAGCTTTCATTTTCACAGCAACAAACAATCCAACAAACAACAGTCCTCAACCTAATAGAGTGTCTTTATAATGAACTAATTTGAAAATTCAAAGGTGGAGGAACAGCAGATAGAATAGATTGTTTTCGAGGTTTAATCGTTTTCTTTGGTAACAAGAGAGAGAAATGATTGGTTCGGTGGAACACTGATAAAGAAGACAACAATTAGACGCAAACCGATTGCTCTCGTTTTTAAGATAGACGTTGCGAGAACATAAAAATGAAGCGAACTAGAGTATATACTGTGTAGGAGAATGATCAGAAGTTGCAATAAATTAGAGGGTTTCTTTAATCGAAAAATTGTCACTTGTTCTTCGACTTAAAAGAGTCGCGTTTCAACGACTCGGAATCGTTCGTGGAGTATATAAGTAGTGATCAAAGTCGGAAAAAAGAAATACTGTTTCGCTCGTTTACGCTGGTACGGTTGCGCAAACGATAGGATTCCGTGTTTGAAATCAGCCTCTATCGCCGTATTCGATGTACAGAGAATTTCTCGTCGATATT